TTCCTCTTGCTTCTAATGTATTTATAAAAGGTCTTCTTGTTTCCCTTTATGCCTGTAGCTAATTTGATCTCATTTTGTGCCTTTGCCTTTCTAATCTTGCCGTGTTGCTTGCCTATATAATGATCTACCTGGCCAGAAACCAGGGGGCGGGGTCAGAGAGACAAAATGGCTGCCAGAAGGAGCCAGAAGCCTCCTCTGTGCATCCAGGAGAAGAGCTAGGCCCAAGAGAGGTGGAGAACTGGCTTGGACCGCTGGGCTCCCTACTGAACGACACCCAGGAGGGACTACTGACCTCATCAGGCTTCCTGGAGACTCTGCAAGACACTGAGGACTGACAACCGGATCTGGACTCCTTTGACTCCCCGAGAGACCTACTGGATGTCCAGGTACGCACTGAGGGGGTGAAGGGAAGTGGCCCAGGGAAGAGCACGGACACTTAAATGCCTGAGTCAGCATGTTTCGGGCTGGAACCCCTGCTGACCCAGCAGCAGTCAGTACTGCCAGGGCGCAGTGGAGTGGGTGGGCTTGCTCCCCGCCGCCACCCACAGCTCGGGTGGCAATCTCCCCCTCTTCACCACTGCAGGCGACCCGCCTGCACCCCTCCTGAGCAAGGAGACCCCCAAATGTGTAAATTGTACAAACTGTTTGTTCACTGCCCTGCCCTAAACTAGGGCTGGGCCTTCCTAGACTGCTTGCCTGACTCCCCACCCTGACCAAAGGCTGGGCTTATAAACTGTTTGCCTGACGTCTGCCCTGAACCCTGGCAGGGACTTTTTGAACTGTGGGCTTTGCTGCCCTGCCCTGAACTAAGGCCGGGCTTCAGACTGTTAGTTTACTGGCCTGCCTCAAACCCAGACCCCATTTATTATTGCTTGCTTGGTCAACTTGTCCTGAGGTAAGGGTGTGGACTCCAGGTGGGTTGTTTGACACCACTAAAGCCCCCCAGGGTATAGTGGTTTGGAGTGGCCACCCACTGACCCCAAAGGGGAGGCGCCCCTCCCAAAGCCTTACAGGGGCACTGAGGAAAACATGGAGTCATCCTTGTAATAGCAAAATGGTGGCACAGGTGGTAAAGTGCCTCGTGCCTGTGAATGCTTTGATTTTGCCCTGAGAGGGGAAGGTGCAGGTGGTGGGAGCAGTAACAGTGCTCTAGTGCCTGCGCTGCTCTTATGCCCATTACTGCTTGTAGCCAGACACAAACCCCATCTTGTTTTTCCACGAACCCCATCTTGTTTTTCCACGAACCCCATCTTGTTCCCCGCCCCCAGAGAGCAAGAGAAAGGCAGTCAGCCTTTGATGCCCTGGGAACGCAGGTGTGCTGGCTGTCCCTGACTCTACCATAAACAGAAACCAGACAGTAAATGGGCTAGCTGATGACCCGGGGCCTCCCGTCACCCTGATGGCTAGTACCAGTAATTGACACGCCTGCACTGTCCCAGAGAGGAATCTTTGCCCATCACATACCAGAGGTGCCCATTGTCTGCATTTTCCCAGGTGTAAATTATGCTTTGCACCCTTTGTGGGAAACTTGGTGTTCAAATCCATTTTTCCTAATTGGCCACTTGAGCCCAGGAAGAAGCCTACATGACCCAAGGGGTATAAAAGAGGTTCAGCCGCCCACCCCATTTGAGCTCCAATCATCTATACCTGCTGGCAGGTATTGATTGTCTCCCGAGGTCTGTGGGACGCCCAACCTCGCCCTACTTCTTCCCGAGGGATTGAGAGAAAGACGCTGGCCACGCCAAGTCTGGAACGCAGGGGTGAGAATATATACCTGCTATGTGTCTATTTTGCATGCATTTAATAAGAGCTCAGAGAACCAAAGGGTTTCATGGTACCTGTAAGTGACTTATTAGTGTAATTTCTGTCCTGTCCTTTGTAGTGTCTGTGTTATCTGTAACACAGTAGTAGCATTTAACAACTAAGTTTACCCTGTAACAATAAAATAGTAACTGTTTAAGCTTTAACCTGACTCCTTCAGTTGCTGTAACAGAACCAAGCACAATTTAAAAGAACTTCAGCCGGTAATAAGGGACTCACTGCCCTGACCGTCGGCTGACACTGCTACATGGAGGTGGGATTGATGACACAGTTGTATCTTTGTGCTGTTCTGACTTGTCACGCTTAGGCTTGTCAGAATGCTTAGGCACATTGGCCAGGTCCTTAGACCCTCAGGGCGCGGTAGGAGAATGTTACCCTGGTAAGTGCTTGTCCGGAACCACCACAGGGACGGATCTGGCTTAGAGTTCAGGGATCACCCTTTCTTAAGTGAAGGGGATTCCCTGTTCGCTGCTCTCTTCTGTTTAGAAGGAGTAGAGCTAGCAGCTGTGGCAATTGGTACTGCCTTATCAGACATTGCTGCTGGTGACAATGGTAGCGGGGATGAAGGATGATCAGGGTCAGATGCTGGTCTGTGAGAGCGTTCGAGAGGGGTCTGATCAGACTGTAGAACCCTCACGCTCGGCTGATCCAATGTCTTAATTTTCACTGATGGCAGTGAAAAAAAAAGTGAAATGTTCTGTGACTAAAAGAATCCCTGACTGGGGACAGGGTTCAGGGCAATAGATAAGCCCCCTGACTGAGACAACAGCAGTCCCACTTGGGAGATGCTGCGCAAAATAAATAAATAAATAAACTAAAAATGAAAAAAGAAAAAGGCTGAGGAGAAAAAGCTGAGGAAAAAGAAAAAAAAATCTCCTTAGAGTATAGGCAGTCTCTAAGGGGGCGCCAGAGGTGCGGAGTTTGCACTGGTCTCCCAGAGGGAGACGTCAGACCATATGTTGTTTTGTGTTGTAGTAGTACAGAAAAAGCTAAATAAGAAAAGATAAGAAGGAGAAATAAAAAAGAATAAGGCTAGTTGTCTTTCTGAGGAGAACTGCAAAGCGCACTGCAGGTTCTGAACAATGCTGCCAGCGGCAGAGAAGGAACTGAAGGGATCGCATCTCGCACATACGCATTAGTTGCCTAGTGCTGTGGCACGTCTGCGCTTGTGCGAATTAGCTGTCAAAGCCACTGTTATCAAAAATCTTCTGGCCAGGTGCGCTGTGGCACCAAAACACCTAAGGTGGAGCACCCACAGGGACACTCCTTGAAGAATTTATATGGAAAAAATACTATGCATATCTATTTATTCAGAATTGTAAGTGAATCTGATGAGTCTGATAACATGTTAATTGAACTAACTCAGAAGCAATGTCAGATTAGAATATAGTGACAGCAACTGACATTTAAAGCTTCCATTCAATTTCATAAATTACCTCTGTTTCATAAAGAAACAGCAGGCAAGGAATCTCACACCACTGCAACATCAGCATACTCTCGCCCAAGCCAACATGCAAAGACAAAACAAAAACAAAGAAAACAACACTCAAATTTTGAAGACTCTCAGCCCTTTTCAGTTTGAGCCCTGATGTAATCTATAGTTTTCTATGTAACAAAACATGGTTGTAAGATAAACAAGCACATTCATCCAATTTTCCTAATTGCTTATCATCAATGCTCTTATAACCCTAACATTAAAATACAGATGGAACCACTCCGGTTCTGCAACCTTGGGACCTGTACGGTTCCAAACGACAGAGTATGCTAGACCAGGGAGCTTAAGACTCCCCTCGTTACTCTTGGCTCTGCTCCCTGCCACAGCCTCACTGCAGCCCAGCCCTGCCAAGGCTGCACTTCCCACTCTGGGCTGCACTCCTCAGCACACTGATCATAGCCAGGGCTGCACTGTCACCCGGGGTACACTCCTAGCCCGGGGTACACTCCCAAGCTCCAGTTCAAGCTGCACTCCCAGGCACCAGAACTGCTGCCTCTGGCTTGGGCATGGCTATGCTCCCTGCTATACCAGCCCGGCCTGGGCGGGCAGCTCTGTCCTCCTAGCCCCCACTGGCCATGGCTGTGCTCCCAGCTCCCGCTGCCTCCAGATGGGCAGGGCTACACTCCCCATTGTGCTGGCCCTGCTGCCGCAAAATAAAACACGGTTCACTATTTAAAGTTAACAATTCAGTTTTCGGTGTTAGGCCGAATTAAAAAAAAAAAGATATAGCAGAAAAAGAGCCTGCAATCCTGGGACAAGGGCAAAATAAAAACTTTAATCTCATCATTAATCCTCATTATTTGAATTAGATCAAAATCTCACTTTCTTTACAGACACTGAATGATTATATCCATTTTAGTTATTTATTTTGATTTGAAAGAAAAGTGAAATTTGGGGCTTGCCAAAGTCAATGGGAGTTGTGCCAGTTATAGTCAGGATTTTCCCAGCATTTTCTCGCAAAAAAACAAAAACCAGCAAACCACTCTATAGAGTCTAAAATGAGTATTAAATCAATAACAAATATCAGAAATGTACTTTAAACCTAGTGTGCCAAGTTTTCCAGAGCTTGAAAAATGAATTCCTTTGTTCAGGTTCTGTAATTGAGATTTATTTGTATACCTATACTCAGTATAATTTTTACTTTAAAAATTATGAATGATTTCTCATGCACAGTCTAAAAGGCTCTAAAAGTTGGCACAGCTGAGATTTTATATATATACATACTGTTGATCTTCATGCACATTTATCCTGCAGCATAATGTTAAAATAAGTGATAACTGAAGAGATTTGGAAAAAAAATTAAGAAATCAAATGTTTCAATTTGTTTTCTAGTTCTTTTTTTTGTAGTCTGCATGATTAAATATCGAAAACAAAATACAAACATGTCACATATTCCTAAGTTTGGTATTTAAAATTCTTGCACAGTTAAAAAGAGCTGCAAGAAAACATTGTGTTAATTCTATTTAGTAGTCCCTATTTCATTTTATTCTATACATATGCTCTGAAGAAAAAATTAAATGCAATTTAAAATATGTAGTATCTGGATAGCAATATTAATATCTTCAACTAAAATCTCTCTATTACAGTAACACAATGTAAAGGAAAATGCTTATCAGCTTCATTTCCTGACTTTGACAATATGGTCAAGATAAAAAACACACATACCGTTACATTTAAATCTTACCCATTTTTGAAATACAAGACATGTGCTCTTTGGAGTCCTGTTTCTAGGAAAAATCCCAGTTCCTGTTCATGCACAGTAGACCCGGGTTTGGGGCTTCTGTTTTGTATATTGGTCATTATTATCTTAAAAAAACACAAGCAAAATAAAATTAGATGACATACAAATGAAATGTTCTATTCATTTTATCTGAGCACCTGTGGGAACGAAGAAGCTGGCGCTCGACAGTGTTGTTGAGAGAGACTCCTTCATTTCATTCTTCTGCTGTCTAGGACCACGCCTATACTTACCAATCCAGAAATCAATCTTCTGGTGTTTAATGTAGCAAGTCTAGTAAGGACCAGCTAAATTGAATGTTGAGGGTAGCCCCGCTGTTGGTGCCAGTACTCCTCAATTAATGAGGAGTAAGGGAAGTCAACAGGAGCATTTGCTCCCATCAACCTCCCGCTGAAGAAATGGCGCCAAACTCGGCTTAAGGTACGACGACTCTAGCTACGTTATTCACATAGCTAGAGTTGCATACCTTAAGCTGACCTTCCAGATCAAATATAGACCTGGCCTATATTTACCTCACTGATTTTCCATCTTTTCAAATCTCATATCAATACCTTCCTTCTCTGTTACTTTTAATTTATTCTTCCTTTTACTATTATTCTCACTACAATTGTATTATGTAATTTTAATGCATTTTAGGATGCAATATATGAAATAAATTAATGCAAAATAATATATAGATTTTAAAATACATAAATTACAGGATGCTTCAGTAATAGGAAATGTTGGTGTTCAGTTCTGCTTCGCATTGGATCCCCTACATAAATGGTTTACTTTCAATTAGAAAGATGACTGCATAGGCACTACCAAGTTCAGGTAAAATAGTTGTACAGAGTACACAGAAGTGCAATGTAAGGTAAAATATGTGTGGATTAGTAAGATACTCAAAAGTAGTGTTTTCATGCGGTTCAGAAAGAGTGAAATAGAGAAGTTGGAGTCACTTAATATTTGTGCTAACATTGCCCTTTCAGCCAAAGTTCTTTGAAACTGCTGTATGACTTGTATATTCATATCTATATATCTGTAGATATATAGATATACAGGCAGTCCCCGGGTTACGTACAAGATAGGGACTGTAGGTTTGTTGTTAAGTTGAATCTGTATGTAAGTCAGAACTGGCATCGCTGATCAGTTTCAACAGCAGCTGAATCTGGATGCCAGTTCTGACTTTCATACAGATTCAACATAAGAAACCCAGGCGTCCCCAAGTCAGCTGCTGCTGAAACTGATCAGTGGCTGGACAGGAACTGGGATTTTTCCTAGAAACAGGACTCCAAAGAGCACATGTCTTGTATTTCAAAAATGGGTAAGATTTAAATGTAACGGTATGTGTGTTTTTTATCTTGACCATATTGTCAAAGTCAGGAAATGAAGCTGATAAGCATTTTCCTTTACATTGTGTTACTGTAATAGAGAGATTTTAGTTGAAGATATTAATATTGCTATCCAGATACTACATATTTTAAATTGCATTTAATTTTTTCTTCAGAGCATATGTATAGAATAAAATGAAATAGGGACTACTAAATAGAATTAACACAATGTTTTCTTGCAGCTCTTTTTAACTGTGCAAGAATTTTAAATACCAAACTTAGGAATATGTGACATGTTTGTATTTTGTTTTCGATATTTAATCATGCAGACTACAAAAAAAAGAACTAGAAAACAAATTGAAACTATATAAGTGAATGTATACAGGCAGTCCCCGAATTACGCGGATCCGACTTATGTCGGATCCGCAGTTACGAACGGGGCATTTCTCGGTCCGTCGCCCCCGTCCTCCGGGGCGAGAAAAGCTGCTCCCCGTCTCCCTGGTCTGCAGGGAGACGGGGGGCAAAAGGCGGGACAGCCCGGCCGCGCTTGAGCTGTCCCCCTGCAGGTGTGCTCCGCGGCTTTGCTCCCCATCTCCAGACACTATCAACTGAGAATGGATTCAAATATTTTAGAGATAAATCTAATTACAAAAAGTGGTGCATAAATACCATTACTTTAAAATAATCTCTAATAAGCCCTTTTATTAATTTATAACATTTTAATTTAAAATGTGTAACAACGCAATCAATATTGTTTTGGATCTGCAGAAAAATTTGTTAGTAGCACCTAGCCTTTTTCTCTCTTGCAACAATGTCTACATACAATGAGTGTAATTCAGCTAGATATCTCATTATTATTGTTCATTAGGGTTATTATGGTAAAGGCCAGCTCAGAATGGGGCCCCAGTGTACAAAACCTGTTAACCCCATTGTAAAACAGGTTAACAAAGTTTCTAACTTGACAAGACAGACCAGGAAACAAGTGGGGTCGGGGAGTGTACAAATATAGTGTGGAGAGTGATAGTTTGTAAATTCATGTTAATATCATGGATTTTTTTTCCAAAGGAAATCTTTGGATGAGTTTACTTAGGAGGGGACTTGCTAAACAGAAAGGAAGGAAGGTAGCAGGGATACTGAAGGGAAGTAGAAAGGAGGACAAGGCAGGGTAGACCAGGCAGGAGGAAAAGAAGGAGGGGTATGAAGTGAAGAGAAGATTTTTTTACATTCAAAAGTTCTCAAAAGTTTTTCACATATAAACAATAGTTATAACATCAGGATTTTCCCCATATTTCACAATGGGGAAGCTATGCCAGGGCAAGGTACAGGGAATTGTCCCAAGTCACTGAAGAAACCTGGGAGTAGAATTCAGATTTACAAACCCTCAGTTCAGTGCTTTAACCTGGCAGCTAAATATTTTCTCTTCCAATAAGGAGGCTCTGATATTCCAGCTTCAATTAAAACGTTTTTTATTACTCAAACAAGAAAAAGGTGCTTTTCTACCCTATTAACTCTAAAGTGTTTGTGTTGATTAAGTTCACTACCACTTAGGCAAAAAATTCAAGCAACATTTTAACTTCACAAAAATTATTTAATATTTTGATGAACCAAAACAACTAAATATGCCAAGCCCAAAGAACATCTCTTCTTGCAGCTCTCAAACAAAACTCACTGTATCTGAAGGTCTGTCAACAAGAAAGCAATATCACTATAAGAAATAAAGAGAAGGTAATTGCTGAACAAACTGTTGCAGCCCCTTTCTGATTTTAGGAAGTATATTCCTTATCATGCCTGCTTCCATGCGAGTCTAGAGGCTCCCTTGAGAACTCTATTGTGTACCTGCTGTACAGAGGCCACTTTAAAGCAAAACTTCGGCCTTCAACAGCACGTATCTCCATTGTTTTATCTGTGACCTTCACTGTATGTTAACAGATTAGGATTAGGTTTAACACAATGTATCCCCTGTAATGTGTGCTTTATAACTTTTCATCACAGTGGGAACAGCAGTCAGCTTGTTATGTACTCCCAGCTCCACCAGCAGTCTGCCTAGTGCAGATCACAGGCAAAAATGGTCAAGGGAAAATATGTTCAAGGAGCAAATGGACTCTTGGAGGAGATGCAGGCCAAGTGCAAGGATAGGGTAATAGAATGGCAGGAGAGGAGAGAGTGCAGGGAGTTGCAGGCCAGGCAATAGGACAGTATATTTGCCTCCCTGATGACAGTAATGGAGCAGCGCTATAAGGTTAAACATGTCCTAATAACCTTATGCTTTTTCACTTGATCCTAATTTTACTTGAAGATTGTTTCTATCCTACATTATTGATGGAAAAACAGAAGCCACAGGTATGTTTTTCATTATCCCTGAATTATGTCTATAAAATTAAATTAATATATGTTCTTTAAATGTCATTCTGGTTATCTCATGGGCATGACATGTATCTAACACTATTTTAGGATCTTTTCCATCAGATCTGTGGTAAAATCTTGGGTCCATTAAAGTCAATGGAAATTTTGCCATGAACTTCAATCAAGACAGGATTTCACTTTTGATATTTACAGACAGGGGTTTATTTAATTGTCGCTGTTCTTTTTAATTTCAACAAAAATATTTGTAGAATGATGAGGACTACATGATTTTCTCTGTATCCTTTTCACCCTCATGTCTATGAGAAAACAGAGCTCAGAACATTCTGCTGTGATTAAATGCCAAGTTATCTGATCACATCAGTGAAAGAGAAACCGTGTAACCAAGTCCCTCTCTGTCCTCAGAGGGTTTTCATGTGGAAACACTATAGGTGCTGCTGTTGTGTGTGTGACTACAAACTCTTTTGTAATAAATAAGATCAGTTATTTCAACTGGACAAATTACCCCATCTTACCCTTTCTATCTCCTGAAGGTACAGGAGGGCAATATCTCCAGCCTTCTCGTAGCACGTAATGATTTCTTGTTCACGGTCCGTGTGGAGGTTGCTAGTTGAAGAGGAAATTGGCAACTTCTCTAGACAAAGACCTGAAAATAAAATACAGTTTTAAAAGGGATGTTTAGGTTAAAGCAACAATCTTGTTTGGGAGCATGCTAAGTTCTCCTCTAAAGTTACCTGAGACTGAGAAGAACACGAATGACAAAGGCATGGCATGGCGCTCTTGTACTGTATGTACCACAATCTGCACCTATTATCCCTTTACCTGGTCCCTTTAAGAACTCATTCAGTTTCTAGTTGCCTTCTCAGCCCCTAATCCTTTAATTCACTCTTTACTAAGCTGCCACCAGAGTTTGTCACAAAAACTACACAGAAGTCCCCAAAAAACACAAATATTTCCATCAGTTTCAGTTCCCCATAGCGTCCTGTTTCCTAGGCTTTCCTTTTTATACTGCAAAATTTCATGCTTCTGGCATTCCCAGCTCAACTGCACACTCCATGCTGCCTTTTATATAAATCACCTATTTCTCACATATGAGGTCCTCTTGTAATCAGAAATAGCTAATCCTCAAGCACACAAAGGCAAACCACCCTATTACATACCTTCCACCCCCCCCTCAGAACCATGCCACACCACACAGGGTAGGGTCTAGCTGAAAAAAATCTCCTTCCCTATTTCCCCCACGTCTCCTTAAGTTACCAGCCCTATATGTCGAGGTCCATAAAGTTTCCGCTCTCCACCACCTTGAGTTCAATTACCATAACATGCAAGCAATTTTGCTCCTCTAAAGGCTACCTAACATTTATTAGCTTTAAGGGGTAGCCGAGTTAGTCTGTACAGGATAAACTTAAAAAACAACAAATGATCTGGTAGCACTTTATAGACTAACAAAACATGCAGATGGTATCATGAGCTTCCGTGGGCACAGCCCACTTCTTCAGATGACAGGTCACCTAAAGAAGTGGGCTGTGCCTACAAAAGCTTATACCACCATCTACGTTGTGTTAGTCTATAAAGTGCTACCAGACCATTTGTTGTTTTTTAAGTTTAATATTTATGAATTAGCTCCCCATGTGCCCTATGGAGACGCTTGGGCTATCCCAGGGGTGCTGGTCTACCCCAGGGGTCTTCATTTAGGTGTCCACCACCGTTCAGTAGGGAATAGTTCACCAGAAATCAGCTGTTGCAAGGGCTTTTGGGCACTAAGGACAAGGGACCATATTATGGGAATGTGAAGGGTTTCTTGATTAAGTCAGTGTGGAAGGGGAAATGGGAACTCACTCACGCTCTCAGGCACACTCACAGTTCAAGTCAGTATGCCAGTGTCAGCAGGCACCACTGCATGCCATCTTCCCACGATAAATCCTGAGCTGGTTCACTGGCCAGGCGATCTGAGCAGAGGGCACTGTTGGGAGGTTCTGCTTGATGGTCGACCACCTCCGCTGTGTCCCTCTCTCTTTTATGGATTGCTGTTTATTCCTTATTTGGGCATATCTATGTCCTGTGCGTGCATTGTTGAGTTTATGTCCCTGTACAGTCCTCGTACTTACCACAAGCACACTCTCACATTCACACCAGGAAGGGAGAGGAAGCTTACAAATGTATCTAGATAAGATCAGTTAATGGAACAGGTCTAAACATCTTGACAGTATTATAAGAAAACAGTTTGACATTCTTAACCCTTTACAGTTTGTACCTTGCCTTCACCCTCAACGCCACAAACCTTCTACAAGAAAAAAGTAACAAATAGTTACTTGAACAAATAGTCTTGAAGAACCTTAAAGACTAATAAAACCTGCAGATGGTATCATGAGCTTTCGTCAGTACAACCTACTTGTTCAGATGAGTGGAGTTATTAAAGGTCCAGTTTCTAAATAAATGGGGAGGGGGAAGAAAAAAAATGGGGAAAGAAATAGTTGATTAGAGTGTTTATGCTACATGAAGCAATGGAGAAGGTGAAAATTATTCTTAAATTGTTTTTTTATGTCATTAGGATAAAATGACACACCTGTTGGGGAATATTTTAACTTGCCAGGCACTCATTAGTGGATCTCAGTCACCGTATTGTTTCAGGCCAATTTCACAAGCCAAATACACAGGGAAGTTTTAGAACTTAATTTCATTTACAGGTTTGATTCCTATTACAGAGGTATGAATAAAGACATTGGCTGGATGGCCCACTACATTCCACATCCTAAAACCAATGGGCACTTAAGAACAATTTGCACCTTCTATATCAGCTTCATGTAGCATGGACACTTACTATTTTTTTCTCCTTTTTTCCTTCTCTCCCTCTGCCATTTATTTAGAAACTGGACCTTTAATAACTCCATTCATTTGAATAAGTGGGCTGTGCCCATGGAAGCTCATGATACTATCTACATGTTTTGTTAGTCTTTAAGATGTTGCAAGACTATTTGTTGTTTTTTAAGTTTTTCCAGTTACAGACTAACTCAGCTACCTCTCTGAAGCTTCTACAAGAAAGTCTCGGTCACTACTAAACCTCCTCCATCCTCCATTTTGGGCTCTACCTGGATTTCCCCTACATCCTAGACCAGCACCTATCCTCTAATACTTCCTTCTGTCTGGGGCAAATCTACCTCCTAGGTTCCATCCATCGTCAGCTCCCTTTCTACCTGTTTCAGATATTATGTCAGAAGCTTCTCCTGAACGAGTAAAAATCTCCTATTCTATTAGTCCTCCTTACAACATGGAGAGTTCACCAGTCACTGCGAGTAAATTATATACTATGCTGTTCCTCTCTGGACTATCTGGGGTGCTAATTTTCAGTCCAGTGAAAACTATTTTTCCTACTGTCCTCTCCTCCCTCTCATGGCCCCCACCCTGCAACAATCCACATGAGAGCAAATCTTCTGCTTATGTCCTCTTCTCCCACACTGAAAAAGTTCTAGAGATCTTGTCTCTCCCCTTGGCACAGATAGCCTCTTCTGGAGAGACCTCAACTTCCTTGCCAAACTGCAACTGTAGTCCACAAAGTCAGACTCCATGAAAGAGCAGTTTTTAGGGATGTAACACAGCTGTCTGCAGCAGAAGCACAACACTGGTAACTATCATCACCTCTCTGAAACTTTTCTCCTTAGCGACAATAAGAGGATTAACAGTAAGCATGTGACTGGGTAACTGGTTATGCAATAAGCATCACCCTTACAGGGCGACGCTGACCAGGTAACAGTTAACTGTTGCTGGGGAGCAGTGCCTCACCCACAGCCTGGGGGGCTGGAGTGATCCCTCACCAGGATCCCACTTAGACAGTTAACTGGTTAAACATTCGGTCCACCTAACATTTAACCTGTTAATTGATTTAACAGGTCCAGGTTAGCCCTCTATTTCTTCTCTGTGTTGATTTCTCTGCCCTTGGAGTATCCTGGATCCTGGCTTTTTGTCAATATCAGGCACTCTGGATCTAGTCCAACATTCTATGTGCTATGATCCCTCTGTCTCCAAATTGGCCTCTCCACCACTATTCAGGGTTGAAATATTTGTTTCCTCCAATGCAGAACATGCAGGAGCTGCTCTAAGACAACTAAATCTATTATGTCCACTAAAAAAAAAATCATTTCCAACCTCAGCCACTGGCCAGTTGCATCCCATAATCTCTGAATTACAGCATGGAGCTGGGCCTCTTGCAGAAACAGCTCTATGTGCAATTTATGTTGGTAATCCTTCTGAGTGAGCCTAAACCAATTGAAGATGGTGTTTTTAGATCAGGGTATGAGCTTGACATGGTAACCCTCAGGGCTGAGATAGACAGTTGGGATTCCCCTGTTAAAAAAGGGTAGTCTGGTGCCCAAGAGGGCTCTTCCAAACAAGCACCCCACTAAAAATGTAGAGAATCTTCTACATCATGCCCCAGACCCAACTTTATCATCATTCAATTAGGTCTAATTTGTCCATAACCTCCCCAACCCCATTCCCTGAAGCTCCTGGGCTTATTTGCTCAGTTGCTGTAAGAACTGTTCCTGCTGCAGCCATTGCCTCTCCTGCCACTATAGTTGGAAGGTAAACTATACTCCTACTATTTCTGTTGGTTTTGTAAATGCTGAAAGAGGAGAATGAGTTTTCTGATGCTCCTTTGCTAACAAAAGGACACATTCTTTTCTCTCCCTGTTTTGGGTTGCTCCTTCTAGGACTTCTTCCCTCCTTGGTATGATAGAGTTTAGAGAGCCTACCGACAACCTCTGCTACCATCCTGCCTCTATTTCCCCTTCAAGAACTCGGTTTCTAGTTCCCTTCTCAGACCAAAATCCTTTAATTCAGTCTTCACCAAGATGGCAATAGAGTTTGCCATAAAAACAACTCAAAAGTCTCAAAACAAATACAAAATATTTCCTTTGGACTTAGCTGCCTAAAGCCCCCAGTTTCTTGGGCTTCCCACTGCTTAACTGCTAGGCCTCATGCTTTGGGCTATCCCAGCTACTTCTCTCAACTGCACACCCTGAAGTTTCCTGCTGTCTTTTATACATGAAGTGCCTGATTCCTCTCAGATGGGCTCATCTTTTAGTGAGGGTTGGACAAGCCGCAGGCTCTCCAGCCCAAGGCCCTGACACCCTGTTATAAGTATTTCACAGCATGTTTTGAAATAACTAAGAAACTTCAGCAGAAACAAATTGCAGTATTTTTGTAGACCTACAATATATCATGAGAGACTAGTGCAAAAGCACCTTTTTCAGTATTTAAGTTATTCAACTGAAACATCCTTTATCCAGAATCCTCCCAGTAGCTAAGATAAAGTGAAATGTTCAAGTTAATGGTTCCTTAATTTAAGTGTCTAAGCAAGGCAGAAGCATTTGTAAGGAGAAACTATCAGAGTATTTTGAAGGAGAGTGTTCAGGAAGTTGAAGGTTTTCATTTTTGTATTTTTTCTTATAGTTCAACTCATTTTTCCCTTTGTTTTTTAACTGCAAATGGGGGCAGATGTGCTCTGGAGGATGCAGTCATAGGGTTGGAGCACATCTGACTATGACATTCCAGCATATAGAAAGCAGTGAAATAGTGTTCACTGTTGAGTAAGTATTAGAAAGAAAAATACCAAAGCCCCAGATCTGTCTGGAAAGGATGCCTTTAGCA